AAATTATTTCAGAAGGTTCCTATATATTAATTCAGTAAATAAACAGTTTGCCTGTTTTTCCTTCTTTAATAATTGAAGTAGGCTGTCAGATGATGTCTTAAAAATACTATATTTAAATATTATCTTTGAATAAGAAGTTAAATGTACCTCTAGCAAAGTCTAGCAATTTACATTTTTTATAGATTCTGTTTCGTTTGCTTTCTAATCCTTTCATTTTGTTTTTAGCATGTCATATTGGTTTGATATGCCCTTTTTGTAGGCTAAGGAAGATGCAATAAGACAGTTTGGAAATACTGCCATTGTGAGACTGTTGTAAGAATTCTCAGAGGCATTGTATAAGCCTGCAGCCCTCATTTTTTTCAGCAATCATTTGCTTGAGACTCTGTTTTTTAAAAATAAAATCAATAGAAAATCAGTCCCTATAATTTCAGACTTTTTAAAAGTGGCACCATTTGAAAGTTTGGTTTTAAGTTAGTAAGAGCTTGGAATTTTTCAAAAAGCACTGACCTAAGATTAGGGCAGGTAAACTGCATAGCTAAAAATGGAAACCCTTATGCAAAAATACTACAGTTATCAGCCAAAATAAAGCTTTTTCAGGTGTCAGAAAAAAGAATACAAAGATATACCTTTCACTTCAACTGACCTTTAGCAGACTTCAAAAGCTTCTTGCAGGGCCATTTGTCATTTCTGATTCCTTGGTAATCTTGCCTTGACTGTTTTACTCATTAATAAGGTGTACTTGATGGTCCTCCAGACTTCAGTAACAATTTCTGGGTTTTTTATACCTCTCTTAGATTTTCCCACTCCATACACTGACTTTTTTTAAAATTAATTTATCTCAGAAGACATAATCAGTTTATCTCTAAGGCTCCTAAAAGCCTATGAGCACGCCTTGTCAACTATGCTTTTTTGCTTTTAAACATGGTCCTTCTGTACTGCTGTAACTATCCTGGCAAAACAATCTCCTTGCCTCTGTATAGACAGCGAGCATCCAAAGAATATATAGAGGAATGTTGGAACCAAGAAAGGCAAAAGACAAGTTTTGCTGATATTTATTACGATTTCCAAACTTAAACAACCTTCATCCCTTGGCCTTTCTCTGCATCAAGTTGCAACAGCAATTTTTAAAATGTCAAAAATATAAGCACTAGGTGTCTGTTTTTGCACTTGTGTATGCACATAACTCCTGAATTCAATCAGTGAAATCCACATCCTTGGAGTAGATTTTGTCCCTCACTGTCATTTAGCGTGTTTTCCAACAGCATATAAATAGTCAGGTTATTAAAGCTGGAAATTGAGGTCTGCCTAAAGCATTTCCTTCTCATAATATTTTGATATGCATAACCATATGCTTTTCTGATTATATTAAAACTTGGACAGATGCATATGATAAGATTGTAGCTCCTTTGAAAATACCATAGCGATATGGGAGATATTTTTAAGGATAAAACTAATCTTAGACACAAAATCTCATACCCATAAAATACAAAACTTAATCTAACTGTTGTTATGAAGTAGGGAGGACCATAGAAAAGTCTAACAAAAGTCCAAAAGATGTACATGTTCATACAAATCCTGTCCATGATTTTGAGGTTCCGTGTTGCCAAAGGTTTTGCAGGAATGAACTTGCTCAGAGTTGTGCCAGTAATTTCTGTCACCAGGCTGACATTTCAAGAGCAGCCTTCTGCATTTGTAGTCACCCTCCCAGATGCATCACACCCACCCTGTTGTGTGGGGCTGCAGTGACAGTGGAAGAGAGGCCATCACATTAACAGAATAGAGTCAGGGCCAGACAGTCCTTGGTGGGCACCTTTCATTCCCTGTCCAGATGGGAGAGCAACAGCTTGGAGCGAGTTGCTTTGCATTGCTCATGGAAGTTGTGCGTGTTGCATGCATGAGGGAGCTTCTTATCTCCTTATTCCTCTGGGTAAACATCCTAGAGGGGTTTGAGTTGAATCCATGAAAGAAATATGCTGAAATCTGTGACAACAGTTTGTGTATAATTTTATTTACCACTAGCAGTCTTTTCTCCCTCCCTTCCCCATTGATATTTTGCCTTTGCAACCGGGAAGTCTTGAGCTGGATCCTGATGGCACCAAAGGAAATGAGCAGTGGCTAATTTCAATATTACCTTCTGAGGCCCCAAACAGTTTCAGAGGAGATAGAGAAAAATTTGCACTCAGACCATATTTTGCACAAAAACACTGTTTGCTGTTTATTGAACACATGGATGGTGAAAAATATAGCAACCTTTTAGAAACAGAGAAATCCTGCTGATAATGAAACAGCTAAACACTTCTTGTGCAGTTGAATTCCCCTAGCATGCACCTGGGATTTGCCCAGTCGCCGAGCACCTCTGCCCTCTTGTAGTGCAGACTCAGAGATGTCCTGAACTTCCCTGTTCCAAGCAGCTGTGGGTTTGTTTCTGTATACAATCACATACTTACAGAAACATCACTTGTTTAATCCAATCTAATCATAGCACCTAATAGAAGAGGGCACTTCAAAATAGCCTCTCTAAGGCAAATCTCATTTACTTAAAGCTGCTTTATAGGATCACCACATCATGATCAACTTCTCCAATAGGCAAGTGCATGCAAACCACACAAACTATTCAGTTGCATGAAAAATCATGCTAAAAAAGAACATGTTTAAAATTAATAAAAGGGACATATTGGTGCCATCCAAAGTAGTATGGGTCTGGTATATCACTTAGTTATGCCTTAAGAAGAATCATTATCTTCTTTCTACAAAAGCATGGGAATTGTCAAGGTTTTCTATATTCTCTTGGTGAAATCTTGGTTCTGTACTAACAATCATCAAATGTAATTTAAATATCTTGCATACTATGAGAGGAGAGGGAGATAATGTGGGACTTGTACAAAGGACTACTAGGTCTTCACTCAAGTGCCGGAAGTGCTTTGTTGGAGAGAGAAAGAGTTTATGTGAGACCTCAGGGGTATACACAATTTGCAGTAACGTCTGCACTGCTGATTTGTTTCTCTAAGAAGACCTATCCCTCTTCTCCAGCTATTTAACAATTTTATGAACCTTTTATGAGCTTGCTGTCATAAATAGCCTTGCTCTTTTATTTTGTTCTTTTAACACTTGCCCACCTTAACACCTATGCTTAATACCAATTTGTGCTTCTGAAGCTTAATAGCAATACACAAATGAGAAACTGAACTTTTCAGCCCATCCACCAAAAAAAAAAAAAAAAAAAAAAGAAAGAAAGGAAGAAATTAAATTGTCCAGTATAAATAGAAACTGAAAATTTGTTTATTTTTGGATCTCACGTGTTTTGGTATCAGCATCAATTCAGTCGGTTGTATTTGGATTAGATACGAGAAGCAGATGATATCTGGCCTGAAAACATTCTACGCGTCTGAAGGATTCAGTATCTTTTCACTGTCTGTTGCTTACATCTTGTCACAGAGCATTATGTTACTTCATTCCAGAGGCATGCCATTGATGCTAGGTTATACAATGCCAAAATGGAATTTGTAGTGTCTTGTGCTTTCAGATCATACTCCCATGGTGCCTGGTCAGGACTTCAGGGACTGATTTTCTAACACTCCCCGTTACAGAAGTACATCTGTTGAACTGCTGTACTCCCCTTGGTCAAAAGTAGATCTTCTTGTTGCTGGAGAGGAATACATGGAGTGTTTTAGCGCACAGATCAGATCTACCACACTCACTGTCACAAGATCAAGAGGCACCCATGTAGTCATTTATTGATTCAGCCAAGGCAGAAACATAGAAGACCCTGAAAAGCCCCATCACTCCTCTACACTCTTGTTGGAGACCCTCATCAAAAACGCTGGCACACATGGGGCTGCCTGGTCTCACGGTACTGGAGCAAGCGGACAGACTGGCTGAGGAGGCCCCTGTAACATTCTCGCCAAGAAGATCACTCCTGCACAGCTGTAGGTGGATTTTCCTTTGCTCCCACAGCTGTGAGATCAGAGTTAGCCATGTCGATGCTGCCCTTCGCCCGCTGTCAAGGCCAAAAACCTTGCATCTACACTGCCAGCAAAGCGCCAAAGCCGAGGCTGGTAGGCCACCCAAACCTGCCTCGCAGTCTGCCATCTCACAGCCTGCTTTGACAGTGGTTAATTACAACGTTCTGGAGAGCTTGTGTGCACCGAAGTATATAGGCACAACTGTCTCATCCTCAGCAGCTGCTGTATTTGGAGGTGCTCGATACATGCATGGCCGTGGCCTCTCTCCTCCCCTTTCCCACCTGCCCCCCTGCCATCCAGGGTCACCCACCTCTCCGTGCCCTCCCTCTCCCCGCCTTTCCCGCTCAACCTGAGTTCCCATGTCAATAACCAGGCAGCGCCTGGCAGAGGTGCCTGCCCTGCCACCAGCCGCCCGTGGGAGCTGGGCAGCCCGGGCCTGGGGCGCCAGCTCCTGCCTTGCGGGGCCGGCAGCCCTGCTCTGCCCTGCCTGCAGGGCCTCTTGCCAGTGTCCTCACCGCCTGCCCGCTTTCTCCAAGTGCTTTGGCTGTCACAGGTACAATTTGGGAAAAGATGAGGCGGTGGGAGGGAGCAAGCAGGGCTGTCCCCATCTTCCCCAGTGCTTGCAGGGGGCTGTGGTTAGTTCACAGGCCTTCAACAGAGAGCTGTTCTTTTCCTCCAGCACGTCTTTCCAGGAGCATTTAGTTGAGGACCAAGCAGCTGAGGCGGTGCTGGGATGACCTGTGTGGGTTCAGATTGTTTCGAGCTGGGGACAAGGGACTGCTGGGACCTTCTGGATGACGATACAGCTTGTAAGCACCAGACATAACTCCTCAGAAGCTGTCTGAAAGCCACAGGGCTGTGGGTGTGGACAAAGCAAAATTGCAATATCTGGGAAACAAAACAATCCTTTTGTCTTCCTCCATGAATTGTCTTTTCCCCTGTTTCTTAACCCAGCAAAGGGTCCTTCTTTTCTCCCTCCAAAGAGCCGTTTTACAGAGCTGTGTAGCTGCATTGCATAAGCCTCCCCAAGGATGCACGATGCGTGAAGAACCACATCAGGAGTGCTGCCAGGGCCTCTCGCCCCTAAGGCCTCTCCTGTTTGGCCTGGAGAGCGCCAGAGGTGATCTCGGAGCGCTCCTGGGCGCGGGTGCGGGAGGACTCGGGAGGTCCGAGGCATCGTTGCTGGGGTGCAGCCTGGCAAAGCCGTATGGACACAGAACCCCGCGCTCCTCAGTCAGCGTGCAACACGCTGGCGGACGGAGTCGGTCGCTCCCGGCAGCCAAGGTCAGATAACAGCTGTTCTCTGTTTTGTGAAATAGTTTTGTGACAGTTTTGTTCTTTTTTTTGGGCTTGGCTAACTCAATATCTGTGCTCAGTCCCAGTTTGTGCTTCTGTAGCTTAAAGGCAATTCAGAGGAGAGCAGATGAAGTGTTCATTTTGCTCTTAATTCACAAGCAGTGTTCTTAAGTGCTCTATGATATCTCATGTTTTCAGGCTTATCACTTTGCCCTACTTGCATTTAGACAGTTTTTTCTATCTCAAGTCTGCCCTTCTATGTTCAGCCTTTTATATTACCTCTGTGGGAGCTATGCAAAGTAAACTAATGATTAGTTCTTTGCTTGTGGTAATCCAGTTTTTACATTCATTTCCAGTATTAGCTCTGCCTGGATTCTCAGCATTAAGTCACCTTTTCATCCGCAGATACTACAGTAGCCTGTGCGGAAAGGCATTTCAAATGTTTCCGCAATCAGCAGCAGATAGGCCTTTTAACATTGTGTAATTCAAACATTTATATTGTGTTAATCCTTGAGGTAAGAACTCAATTGGAAATGCCAGCATGAATATCTCACCTTAACTTTATCATTGGGAGAAACGTCCAAAATTAGGATTTGATTTAAGAAAAAAAAATATTTCTGTCAGTCTCAAATCCTACAAACACTTGTTCTATGTATTTAACTTCTCTGCTGTAAGTCTTTTAAAGCATCACTGTGAATATTCAAGTCACCATCTGTGACAGTGTTTGCAGAACTGGGACTTCAGCTTAGGGGTGATTGGAAATATTTTGACTCAATGCTTTTTGGAGGGGGGTTGTTACTGAAAAAAATATTTATAAAGTTAAATTAAATCTTTTCTGAAAGTGTTGATTCTGTAAAAATGAAACACTTCTGTTTAGATACATTTTATTTTTGCTTATGCATTCCAGTTCTCTTTTCCTAGGCCTTGTTCTTAAATTGTTAAAAATGTCTTTTTGCTTCTTATCTCTAGCTTTCAGACTCAGCATCTAAACATTTCTGGCTTGCTTGCTTTCTTCTTGTATGAATCCAAGAGGCAGAATTGTTTAATACGTCGTTCCTGGTTTCTTCCATCTACGTTGATACAATTGATTACAGATGATTGGTCATAATACTCAAAATCAAAAGTAGGCTGTGAGTGAGGGTAGACAGTTCAGATAATATTAGGAAATTATATTTATTTTCATCAAATTCTTTAATGGACATGCAAGGCAAAGCAGCCACTGTCTTTCTTAAACATGTTTAAATGAAAGTACAATTCTTTCTAAAACCACATAATTTTCTTCTGAATAATAAGATTACAATATCCAGGAATTTGATAAAGCATACATCAAAAAGTCTATCTATCTTCTCATTTGTAAGAAACCCCAGAATTTTATTCCATTTAGATGAACAGTTTCTCTGGTAATGGATAAGCTATGATTAGGTATAGTTTTTTAGATAGAAGACTAAGATTTTTTACTTAGATGTTATTCCAAATCTGATATAATTCACATCTAGAGCTGTGGCTCACAGAAACAGAAAGCATTGGTCTCTAAAAATCATATATAAGCCAAAATTGCCCTAAAGGCCATGAACATTTACCTCTGGGGTTATAGTTCAGGTCAGTAGCTTTTTGGATATTTGTTTCAATGATGCATGTTAACAGACAGTAAGGAATAAAATTTAATAGTTCATTTGGTCCTTGTAAAAATTAATAAACATCTGATAGTGTAGCCACTGAAGTCAAGGACTTCAGTGGGAATAGTTCCAAACACTAACTTCTTTTTCATGAGAAAATGAGTAGAGAATACCCTTTAGAAAGTAATCTAATTTCTAACATACTTTCTAGATACCTCCTAGAGCCATTGATAATGTAGGTTATCAGGAAGTGTTCATAGTCTTGCTGACTCTTTATGGAATATCTTATGATGTCTGGCCCTCTAAGTCCCAGCCCACGAAAACATGATTTGTGAATATCAGCTAGGTTACATTCACAAAAATAAAAATAACTATGTTTAAATCTCAAAATTGTGGGGAAATGTCAGAGACTATGATTTCTTTGTGCCCTCAGATTCAGAAACCAGACAACCAGTAGAAATATCTTTTTAAATTTCCATTCAGGTTGTTATGTTCAAACCTTCATCCACAGCAGGGTACGTGTGTGTATAATTTTTGCTTGCTCAAAGCTGGCATCAATGTTTTAAATCTTGTGCTTGAAATGTGAGCTAAACTAAATGCATAATTGCCAAAACATGAGCATATACTTCAGTCTTTCATTTTGAAATGTCTGCTCATATTAAAAAAAAAAAAAGAAAAGAGAATATCATTCTCCTACTTTGATGTCCCTTTTGGGCATTCTTTCTACAAGTATATAACATATAAAACAATTTTACTAACTATAATATTCACAGTAAGCTTCAAAAAAACAGTAGAGATTATTCACAAGAGAGTGTTGAGGCTTATTCTTATGTTTACTTTCTCCAGTCTCATCAAGAAACAGAAAACGTCTGTGACCTATTGTTCAACCAATGCTAATGAGCAGAACTAACCAACAGTAAATGTTAAGCATCACTAGATTATTTTTAATGCATTCTGAAGAAAACTGGAAGGTACTCACTTATAAGTCATGAACAGAAAGGCTAAGTTCAGCAAGTAAATTTGTTACAAGTATGGTATATCATCCAGGGTTGGAACCAAAATAGCTCTATTAGAATATAAATAAATCTCTAAAACTTCTTGTTAGACACATAACAAATAAGCACTCGGTGTGCTCTTTGAATACATTTAGAAAGAATGTATTGGCATAAGACCATATTTTGGCATTTCTCTTATCGGGGAAGTGCAATTTAGCACTAATATCCTCATTACTTCAGGACTGACTTCACCTGTGCTTGTATTTCTGACAAGAATATCAGTTAGCATTTCAAGATGATACACCTGCCTCATTCAGGATGAAGGCTTACATGTAACCATTACCCAGCAGCAGATTTTTACTTTACTGAGGTTTTCTTTACTGAGGTAACATATCACTATGGTGAGCTGTAACCTAGCATTCACTAAAATCATGCAACATTTCTTATCTGAAATAGAATTTCATCTCTCTGAAAACTTGTACTATCATAGGAATACTGTATTGTTTTATGGCTATAACAATCATCTAACTCCACCCTTTTATCTTCTGTTTTTATTTTCTCCCTTGCTGTGGTGGGTTGACCCTGGCTGGACACCAGGTGCCCACCAAAGTCCCTCTATCACTCCCCTCCTCAGCTGGGCTGGAGAGGGAAAAAATAATAGAAGGCTGATGGGTTGAGATAAGGCCAGGGAGAGATCATTTAGCAATTACCATCATGGACTAAACAGACTTGACTTGGGAAAATTAGTTTAACTTATTACCAATCAAATCAGAGTAGGATAATGAGAAATAAAACTTTAAAACACCTTCACCCCACCCCTCCTTTCTTCAAAGGCTCGACTTCACACCTGATTTCTCTAACTCCTCCCCCTGAGCAGTACAGAGGGATGGGAAAAGGAGGTTGTGGTCAGTTTGTCACATGTTTCTGCTGCTCCTTCCTCCTCAGGGGGAGGACTTCTCACACTCTTCCCCTGCTCCAGTGTGGGGTCCCTCCCATGGGACACAGTCCTCCACAAACTTCTCCAACATAAGCCTTTTGCACAGGCTGCAGTTTTTCATGAACTGCTCCAGCCTGGGTCCCTTCCATAGGTGCCGTCCTTCAGGAACAGACTGCTCCAGTGTGAGTCCCCCATGGGGTCACAAGTCCTGCCAGCAGACCTGCTCCAGCCTGGGCTCCTCTCTTGATGGGGCTACAGGTCCTGTCAGGAGCTTGCTCCAGCCACAGCCTTCTTTGGGTGCATCTGCTTGCTTCAGTGTGGGGTCCTCCTCAGGCTGCAGGTGGGTATCTCCTTCATGGGTGGAGCAGATGCTCCATTGTGGAGCTCCATGGGTTGCAGGGGCACAGCCTGCCTCAACATCATCTTCATCGCAGGCTGTAGGAGAATCTCTGCTCTGCCTCAACATCATCTTCATCGCAGGCTGTAGGAGAATCTCTGCTCTGTAGCCTGGAGTATCTCCTCCCCTTCCTTCTTCACTGAACTTGGTGTCTGCAGGGTTGTTCTCACATATTCTCACTCCTCTCTTTAGCTGCAGTTGCTGTTCCACTTTTTTCCCCTGCTTCTTCATTGTGTTACCCCAGAGACGCTACCACTGTTGCTGATGAGCTCAGCCTTGGCCCGCAGCGGGTCCATCTTGGAGCAAGCTGGCATTGGCTCTATCAGACATAGGGGAGGCTTCCAGCAGCTTCTCACAGAAGTCACCCCTGTAGACCCTCCCTGCTACTGCAGCCTTGCCATGCAAACCCAGTTCACTTGTACTCAGTTTTACTTGACTTTATAAACCAGAAAGACTAGTCTGGTCTCAAGAGCTCACTTTTTGCCTTTGTAGAAGGACCCTAAGTTCTTAAGAAAATAGGCTGTAAGCATAGATGGCAGAGGTCTGTAGTGTACCAGCAATGACTCCATTCATTTAGCATGTCTTTCTGGCTTTTGTCAGGCTAAAGTGCGGTTGCTTTGAAATTTGTGGTGAACCCAGAAAACTTTGCTAAGGTAGTTTAAAAAAATACAAATTGTATACACTGTTATTTCAGTTTCTAATAATGAGTTGCCATCTCCATAGTTAAAGGACAGTGAGGTCTCCACCCAACACAAAATCTCTTTAGCACCGTCAAAGAAAAAAAACCAGGGAAATGCTGACTTCCACAGAGCCATGAGTTGGCCTGGGAGGCAAGCTGCTGGTGGTAAGGAGGTCTGTGATACCTACAGCTGGTAGCAGGTTAAAAACAAGTTTAGAACCAAGGAGCTGGGTGGCTGGACCTGATCTGAGTGACTGGGAGCTACGGGCAATCCAGCTGGTCTCCAGGAGAGGAATACCTGTAGTGAGTATCTGTGACGTTCAACCTGTATTAAACTGTCCTCAGGGTCAATCTTGGAAGGACTTGTTTCTCTCTTTAAATCCATTGTACTTGGAGAAATTAAAATAGTTACTTCCACATTCTTTATAAAGCATTTTTTTTGGTGTTCATTTTTCTGCAAACTACTTGGAATAGAATAAGTTTTCCTTTTAAACTTTGAAGTTAGATTGGGATTTTAGATCTAGTGAAGTTTTTTCTTTTGGTATTTTCTCCACTGTTTTGTCCTGACTGATATCAGAACTAGAGTCCACATCCATGCAGAATTCTTCTTACTGTAAATTTGGACAGTCCTTTAGGATTTGTGAAGTGCTGTCAAAGCTTAACTTGCCTAACTTGCTTTGAAGTTGTCCCTTAAAAACACCTGAGGTGAGGTACAGTCAGTGAAGAAAGAAAATGATGTTGAGAGAGCTATTTTAACTCTGAGAAGAAACTGTATTGTAAAGGGCTTTAGGTGGCAAAGCCAACATTAAGTGGTGAGGATTCACTGAAAAAGGAAACACAAAACCTATTTGGAATAACTGATAAAATGCAGATCCTCCTGACATCGTTGTGATTTTAGCCTTGAAAAATATATTCTTGGGAAACATGTAAGCATTTGATCTTTGCCCTCTCCATAGTGACAGAGAAGGCTGGCAGAGGAGGGATGGTGTAAGTTCAATGGTCCTGGAAGTTGTGTGCCAACAGAGATGATTTCTATGAGTGTAGTATTTATGTTTGGGATATACCAAAATAACACACATGGGCAGATCCATTTCTACAACTTTTCATTTTTTGTCAGTCTGCTGCATTCAGGGAATAAATGTAGACTTTGGCTTTTCTTTTTAACTCTCCCAATCAAATGGATGTAAGTGGTTAAATTATTACAGTTTAGAAAGTGATTGCGTGTCATTTGAGACACATTAGCTGATGATGTATGTGTTCCCAACCTGTTACTAATATACTAGTTTAAATCTGACGGTTGAACTTTTTAATTTTAGTTTGCAATGGGCTAGGAGTATGCACATGATTATTTAATATGGTTCAATTTATAAGAAACACATTAAAACAAAATAAATCAATCATTTTCTTATTAACTGACCCTATTCAAAGATGCCCTTGTGGCATAGGGAATCACAGGATGTTGTAGGAGAGAACACTGGCAGTCTTTTTTGTCTTTTTTTTTTTGCTGTTTACTTGTTCAAAACCTTCCAGTCTTCCCAGACTTGTATTTGAAAACTGTACAGTTACTGTAATATTCAATATTACCACTAGATTTTACAAATTAGTTATTGTAACATGTGAGGAAGTCACTTAATAATCAGATCATGTCCTCGCTCTACTCTTCCCAAATGATCTGCCTTTGCAGTAGAGAAGCTTTTGAGTAGTTATTCCTTGCTGTTATCTCATGCAGTCCTCTTGTTCTCCTCTTATTTTCTCTCTGACAAAAAGCAGTTAATTAGCTGAGTAAAAGAGATGTTTTATAGTGAATCAGTACTGAACACTGAAATAAACTTCATACCTCCAGCAATGTATCTGCAAGCCTGTGAGAGGTGGACAAACAAATCATAATGTTGATAGAGGAAAGAAGAGGACAGAGTTTCTCATCTTGTTATTTGTGAAAAGGGGAACCTTCCTGCAATATTACTTCCCTCTCTACTTCCCTGCAGCGAAGCTAGATTTTGTGGTTGTCGTATTGGTGCACTTCCTTCGCTATGTGTTTGCAGGGTGTATGGTTTTTGTTTTCACTTTTCATCTAGATTGTGGTTACTGCTGCTGTTTAGAGGAATAAATGCAACAAATAAGGCCCTAATGGCAAGAAATAGGTGACCTCACCTGAAGGTATTGCTCATGGCCCAGGTAGGTGAAGTATCTCTTGCTCCCTACCTTTTGTTGTTTAAGTGCATTGGAGCATTCTTCCAGGCACAGTCTTCTGCTCTGGGTTTTTGTTGTTTTTGTAGGTGTGTCTCTAAAGGGGTCTCTAAAAAGTAGTCGATGTTTCCTACTGACACTGAAAGCAGAGTGAGAGAGAACAGTTTCAGTCTTCCTCTTCAGCTTTATGGTTTTCTTTCTCTTTAAGATTTTTTTTTAAACTGGTGCTAGCCTGTATTTCAAGGGGATGTTCTCTGCAGCACAAATATGAACAGTTTACATTTCCTTATGCTGCCCCACAAATAATCCCTACCTTTGAATGAGATCAGACATCGATTTATGTGGGGGACACTGCTTTAGTTATAAGCCCCCTGAAAACACAGCATTTTCTGTCATGTGGCTTGGGAAGACCCACACAGCCACTCTGTGCATCCCTCAAGAAAACAGTCTCCAGGATTCTCATAAGCATCTGATTGCTGAGGCTACATTTCTGCTCCATTTCATAAATGAAAAATAAATGGTTCCCTTGACAAAGAGAATGGGGGTAAATTTGCCAAACAGCTGTAATAAACAGAAGAGTATAAACCTTTTAGATGGAGCTCATAGGGTCTGCTCCCCACACTGCTCAAGTGTTAATACAAGCAAATAGTGTTACTTCTAGTGTAGCTGTGACATGAATATAATACTGTCTCATAGCAGCAGTTTATGAGGCTAAATTTTTGGTACTTTCTTCTTTTGTTTGTATTCTGTTGATCAAGATAATGTCTTTGCTTTTTACTACAGCATCTTAATGTTTTTGTTAAGATATTTAAGGCATGGAACACATGGAGTGAGAATAATTCCCACTACATGTAGCTCTCACCAGCATCTTCAGATATGTGGATCCCTCTCAGGAATGGCCTTATCCAGGATTTTTAGAGTGGTAAAGCAAAGCTGTCTTTGGCACTGAGAGAAGTGTCATGAAAATCCTCATAGTAAAATTGCAGCCATGATAGTGTTAGAATTTACCTTTACACTGCTGTACAGAGTCTGCTTGAAGCATACAAGGAAAATATCTGGTTCTCTGAGTACGGTACAAGTTGAACAGAGTGAAAAGAAAAAAATGTTAAAAATTAGCAAGGTATCGTGGGGCTCAATGTATGTTACTGGCTCACCTAGTTTTGGGTGCAAGTCAGAATGAAAATCAGTTGTTTGTAGCTTCACAATAATAAATACTTTGGCTTTTCACAGCTGATTCTGGTAACAAAAGGCAGTTGCAGATAAGATTGGATCTTCTCTTCAATGGCTCTTTGAAAGGAAAAATAGTTCTCAGCGCGCTGCCCTGTTGTAACTCTTCACTGACTACCATCTCGCACAGATTTCATTATGCGTTTCCCCTCTCAGCTGTTGCATGGTTGTGGATTGAAATGGATGCACCCAGCAAGCTTGTACAGATGGATATGTTCTTGGCTGTTGTGCAGAATTAATTAGTGTTTTCTGTTCTATATATGCCCTTACATTGTGCTTACCCCAGTAGTTGAGTGCATTGAACAACGTTATCTCACATCTGTCACATGTTCATTTTCTCCCTGATCCTTTCCCCTGGAGGTGTGCAGCACACTGTCTTGCTTTGGGAGCCGAGCAGACAGACTTTGTGAGGACCTCCCAGGTCATCAAGTCTCGTCTCTGGCTGTTGCAGACATCTACATTATATAACGCTCTTGTGAGCTGAGCAAGTGCCAGTCTAGTATCAGATTTCTTTTTTTGTGTTGCTCTTCGCAATCTGTTCCACTACTTTCATATAAGGGTTAGAAAGCTTTCATTTTTACCTTCAGATTGTTTCTGCCTTGTTTTTTGCCTATTTGACCCTGTGTCAGTGTTGTTGTTGATCTTAATTAGCTTTTCCCCTTCTGGGTTCTTTATCATCCTTACCGGATTTATAGGCAGCAATCTTACTTCCTCTTAGCCTATATATTGGTAGGCTGTTGTACTGTTAGTACAGGTGTGACTATGTTTGAGGTAATTGTTATTTCATCAAAATTAAAGCTGGGAAAAATCATTCCAAGTGGATTTAATTTTTCATTTTTGAAATCATTAACTTGAATTACACAGCAGAGTTAGTGCTGTAGTGATGTATGAGAAAATCCTACCTTAATATTTAGGCAGGAAACTTACTACATTTATTATCTAATATGCATTGCCTAAACAGCTAAGAAAATTCAGTTTAGTCCCCTGGCTCACCTTAGGTAAGGCTTTAAGAATACTCCTACTGGTTTCAAATGAGTCTGTGTTGCATAAATTTCCACATGAAGTTGGAAAACTAATTTCCTTCCAAAGCGTAAGGTGCTTGCTAATGGCAAGTCAGCAATGAGGCTGTCCTGCTTCAGTCTGGGACCTGAGGCAAGTCATAACAGCAGTATGGCTCAAACTGCCTAGCCTCAGGTCCTTGGTGACTGCACGTTATTGCCTATAAATATTTGGAAATGTCTCCACCTGTGCCCTTTTCAGCATATGACAAGCCCTATACGAGGCCACACCATTTAGCCAAGTACAGGGTCATGGGACAGGGCTGCAGTGTTGAGCCCACAGTGGGGGCTGCTCGGTGGTGTGTTCCCACTAGGCACAGCTCTTCCTCTCCCTTCCCTGCAGCCATGCAGGGCTGTGGCATCGCTCCTGCTCTGGAGTATGTCTGGCCCACAGACAAAAAAGCAGACTGACCTGATTGCTGTATCTGGCATCGAGTCACAGACTGAAAAAGAGGCCATTCGGCTGTGCTGCAAATTTGTGAGAAACTAGGGCAGTTCAGTGCAAAAGGCTGAGGAACTTGAGTTTTGTGTTTGACACCAGACCTGGCAGGTTTGGCTGCATCCTAATATGACTATGACTGTCATAGCATGTTTGCATAGTGTGTCTGGTGGCAAACGATCCACATTTCTGGAAAAATGCACTTATTTCTACTGGATTTATAAAGAATGCCTGAACAGTCTGTTGATGAATTTTCTCTCTGGTGGCTACACCTTTTGTGTTGTGATTTTTTTTTTTGTGGAGGAATTTATGCTGATTCAGAAGTCTTCCTCTTTGCAATTTGCTATTTCAAACTATCACTGCAAAGAGGGAAGATGGACCTCTTCAGTCACCCCTTGCTTGTCTAGAAGTGATCAGCATTTCTGATGTTACTCCCTCAATAAATTAAGCAAATATTATGGATGTGGATAGCATAAAATTAATGCATCTCTTTTTGAACCTTTTCTTGTTACTGTTGATAGATTATTTTTTGTAATCCATCTGTTTCTCTTGCCTGATTGATGTTCATCACAAATCCTGTGCTCATGGCAGGCATAAAATATTTGAAGAAAACTTGAGATTTCACCTGTCTCCATAGCTGAAGGCAGTTTGAGTTCTGTAAAGCTGTTGATTTGGCTTCCTAAATGTATAAATATAAAAGTGAAGCGGATTTGAGAATCAGCTTTGATATTGTCTGGACCACAAAGTTAAAGTATTTCTACATTAGGAAGAGTTATTTCTGAAGTTCTTACAGATAGGAAGTCTCCTATTCCGAGAGAAACATCAAGCCTAAATTTTAACTGTCATGAACACTGGTCAGTCAAATTAGAGTAAGTGGCTTTCAAAATGCTACCAGATCAGTGTGTTTTCAACTTACATCCATCTTTCATTCACTTTTATGAATGTGGACTGCATGTGGTACACAACAGCTTGAAATGAAATCCTTTTTTCTTTTTACTGTGATATTTTTTTTTTTCCTGGAGTAGCACAACTGTGCCATTTTTCCATAGAAATGTTAATAAAACTTTATTCTTACTGTCTGAGCTTTTCCAACTATCCATCCTTTGCTTGCCTGTAACATCCACTGGTATATCAATCTAAGAAAAGAAACTTTCAGTCTCCAGGTCAGTTAAGACCTACTGATACATGTTGTTCCACTGAAGCCTGCGTACGTTCACTTTGGTGGATCTCCTTTGCTCTTCCTTCTGCTGATGCTAGTTGACTTTTTTTTGAGGAAAACTACCCCTTTCCCATCACAGTCCCCCCTAATTGGTTAAACGGGTGATATAATATAGATTTTTTTTTAAACAGGAAATTATGGGGAAAGTGGAATGGAAGCCTTCAAAGAACTGGCTGCCCAAGAGGGTCTCTGCATTGCTCACTCTGACAAGATCTACAGCAACGCTGGGGAAAAGAGCTTTGATCGCCTGCTCCGCAAGCTGCGAGAAAGGTTACCCAAGGCTAGAGTGGTGGTTTGCTTCTGCGAGGGAATGACAGTGAGGGGGATCCTCATAGCCATGAGGCGCCTGGGAGTGCTTGGGGAGTTCCTGCTAATTGGAAGGTAAGGCTCCGAGTGTGATTTCTCTGCCTGTCCTCTCACTCTCATCTTACAGGCAGTCCTTTAATTTCAGAACTGTGCAACTCAGGCTACCCCTAATTTCCATATTTGTCTCATGAATGGAAAGAAGTGTCAAGATGGTAGAGCAGATCTCAGGAAGGGGACATGAAGATGTATGCCAACTCAATTGGTGGTCTTAACTTTTGCGGAAGTAAACTCTTTCATATGGATATGAGACATTAGTACTTTTGTGCTTTTACACACTCTAGGGTAATGTTTCATACACAGATTTTTCGAACCAAAGTAGAGAGTGCAGACTTCTGCTTTCAGAGTGTGATCTGGAAGTGTGACGTGACAAAATTTCATGTGTTTCACTAAAGATGTCTCCTGATAATCTGAAACCCCAAATTATTGAATGGTTTTGATTACTTGTACTTTTTTTCGGTCTTATGATTACAACCAGGCGTTCTCAGTTGTACACTTTGTTTTGATCTTTGCTGTTGAAAGCTAGGGCACCAATATAATGCAAACTTGTTTGCTTTTTAAAACATCAAACTTGCTGATGAACAAGTCAGTATGTATGTGTATTTTTATATTACTAGAGTAACAGCGCAGATCTGTATTGGACAGGGAAAGGCTGTCTTTATCAAAATGAGAATGGCTGCTTTTTTCTTCTAGAGTTTATCTTTGTAGATATTCACTGAAATATGGTCATTTTAGTTCTATCACATGTAGTCTATCCAGCTTCCATTTTTGCGTTAGCTCTTATTTTGAGATTCTTTGATTTTCACCTTGATTTTTGCAAAGTCTTTATGTCTGGTTTTATGTTTCAATGAACCTTGCTCAAATGATGAGGACTGACATTTTCTGTCTTCTCTGTTAGATTGATAATGTCATTTTTACTCCTTCTATTTATTCTTTGTTTCTTCTTTATTTTTTAAACACCATTCCTACAAGGCCTTTGGCAGTTGTCTCCGTACCTATTTAGCTTCTCTTGCCTTTTTATTCCATTGTCATTCTGACCTGTCAGGCTTCTTTTTGTCCCTTTCTTTCCCAATTGTCATGACTGGTATGTTCTCCTTTAGCTCTGTGCTATAATATTGGTCTTTCCCTGACCATATTGCTCCTCAAAACCCACAATTATGATTTTTATAAATCAGATAGCTAATCTGTCATAAGTTATCATCTGAAAGCATCAATGGTTCGTTGTTTATTTTTATTACGGTCTTTGATTGCAATCTATTTGGAGCAGAGACTATATCTCTAGAAGTGTGTGTAGATAAGATGTAGCACATTTGGAAACCATAAGCATTAAAATGAAACAGAGTAAGGTGATATTGAAAATGGTATTATGTTCTAGATTTGTGCATGTGCTTTTCATCTGCATCATTCAATATGCATCATTTGAAATGGATAATGGAATGTTTCAAGACTGACATGTTTTAAGTATGCTTTTTGGTGAACAGAAGAAACTAACTATAATAAAATTAGTCTGGGTGATAGCATCCTTGGTCTTTTTGTAAATGCCTTGAGGTGTTAGGCAATGCTGTGCTTTCTTCATGTGTTGTTGTCACTCTATAGTGGTGTCTTATTGTTCACTGGATTTTGGTGCTCTCTTGACACTGTCCATACAGAGAGCCAAAGGAAATCAGTCCTCTACATTAAGCACCAAAACTTGGTACATTGGTGGTACAAACATTAGCTTCCTATTAGGCCATTTACTTCATCCCCTACTCCGTGGATGTGTGGAACATTTCAGCTTGAAATTTTGATTAAAGCCTTTACCAAGCATTATGTTACTCTATTTTGTTCAATTATTTGTCTCAGAATCTGCCCAATAGCATTGCTCCATACTTTTTGTCAGAAATTCTCACCTATTAAATGCTAATAATGGAACTCATTTGGAAATCACAGTGAGTTTTTCAGATAGGTTTTCACATACTCTTATGCTGGTAATTGAGTATGGGAGTCGGTTTTAGGGCTGGGTGGGCTGTTCCAATTGTAAAATAGGCTGGCTATTGCTTGTGCCCAACAGCTGGTTGAAATAAAAAACGCTAAAGGGCTTGCACACGTTTTGTATATGCTTTCAGAACTGAAAGAAAATACATTTTCTTTGAATTGTCCTAATTGAGTGATTTTAAAAAATGGCAAATCTAGCAAACTTATTCACAAGTAAGTTGCAGCAAAACTGCAGTGCTATGAATTTGGTCATCTATATACAAACAGGAACTGAGGCATGCATTAACACTGCTCTGACATGCTGTTTAGTCATTTTTATTCAAGTACCCAGCTAAGCGAAATACCAAAAGCCTTTTAAGAACATTCTTTTAATTGAGGGAAGTGGGAGTGAAAGTGAAATCAAGATTTTTTTGCAATAATGAGCTAAACAAAGTCTTTAATTTACCCACAGGTTTATTATCAGCCACACTGTATCAACTCTGTACTCTGCTCTGACTCACTGTAGGAAGGAAGCCTTTATAAAGGACCACCTGGCTAAATAGCTTTCTTCCTGCTCTGTCTTCAATATTGCTGTTGATCAAAGTAGAGAGGCACAGCTTAGCTTAACTAAATTCAAGGTATCAGAAAGAGAGCTGGGAACTAAATTTGACCTCAGTTTAATCTGGGAATGATATTTTGGGAATTACAGGGGATTACATTGAGCCAGGACTGGGTCGTCAGATACTGGGGACCTTTCTGGGATGGGCTGACTCTTCTCAGGCATGGAGGTAGCACCCTATTTGTGCCGTATCTAAGCAAGTGTTCCCAAATTGAGATTGGAGATCTAACTAGCAGTTCAGTCTTTGCTGCTGGAAGTGGGAGACTGTTGTATTAGTGAGAAGAGAGGGAATTCCCATTTCTGAATCTGGAGGGAAGATGGGATTAATACAGGACAGGAGAAGAGGTTACAATCCTACCTGCAAGAGAATGGCAGATGATTCTGAAATTGATACAGTGTCCAAATGTAGTAGAGAGTCCAGTAAGAAAATTTATTAAGCTATGAAATTAAGAATGATAAGGCTCTAAAAAATGGCTGATAAAGGAAAAGAAGGCAAAAATTGATCATGGCTTTGTATAAAAACAGTTATTGGAATAGTATTGGAGTAACCAAAGGCAATAATTACAATAAGAAAATTAACAGTATTCTTAAGGGAACTCAGGTGATAGCTCTTTTAGCAGAAATTAGTTTTGATGTGAAGGGACTATGTAGAAAGATACCCAACATCATGTGTCTAATCATGTTTATGCAGGCCACTGGGTTTAATATTACTTAATAAGAATCAGTTAGGTTTTGTGAGAATCTTGCAAGATGGATTAATCTCTTGTGTATCTCCTGGGATGATGCATCAAGACCAGGCATCTCTGTGGGTAATGCAAAGCAAATGAAAGATGCAAACAAAATCCCCAATTTTAGGAGTTACTCTGAGATCATTGGAGATGAGAGTTTATATAAGTAGTTGGAAATGAAAATGCTCTTTTGCAATTTGACTGTCTCTCCAACTCCTACACATAGTTGTTTGTGTAAACATATGAGGAACTTTGAGAAGGAAGGGATATTTTAGTGCACATGCTGTTTTTTAATATAACACTTGGTAACGGACTATGTACAGCTTTACTTCCACAGGCTTTCTAATGTTTTATGGTCCCCATGAATATCGCTCTATGGGCTGTTGTAGAACTGTGAATTTTAAGTGTTGGTAGGGTGACTTCTCCTGAAAGTTTGGACATTTGGCAGTGAAGTTATGGTTGTATTCTCTGCTGTGAACCCCGTGCATGACAGAGGGAAAGGTAGTTCTTATCCTATATCTAATAAAACCCTTTTAGTGTAGGGTGACAGAGCTTTCAGGATACATAGTGTGATGAAATTTTTCCTGACTACCTTCCCTTCACAAGTTAATATTAATAATGGTGTTTTTTGTGTTTAACTTCACACTTTTTAAATATTGACAAGGCATTGTCAATGTAAACCATTGGTCCTATTTGACATTGTTTGATATATAGAACCTTATTTCATCCAGGTGTAAGAGTAAGCAACTTGTTGGTGAGGTGACAGAGAAACATGCCCTGATGTAGTCAATCCCTGGGTGGCAGAGTGTGTGGGAGGATTTGGGAACATGCCCACGACAATTATCACCTTCCAAAGCCTGGGATTTTATGCCTGAACAGGCATGTAATACCATTGAGTTGGTGTACCATTTGACAGAAGAATGCCTTGCCTACCTGAATAAGACCTACCAGGTCCTAGCACTGTGACTACTGAGCCTCTGTTCAGCTCCATCAGAGCAGAGAATGGAGGGCCTCTACATCTGAGGATGCCATGGTTAAGACAGGGACCCAAACCCTAACTACAGTAATCGCCCCAGTTGTCAAAAAGAAAAACTGGAAGCAGAAATTGACAGGTACATAGCATCAATTAGTAAAGGAGGAGGAAGAATCTGATCAGGAAGCTGGTCCTTCAGCAAGGAAACAGAAGAAGGTGACAGAAGTCACTCTATAGGCAGAGATTACCTGGTCCCTGAGTTAACTTTGAGATATGCAGAAAGATTGTGTCTGCCAGCCAGGCGAACAGATTGCTGCCTGGTTGCTCAGATGCTGGGATAGTGAGGCTGACAGGAATTAGAAGGGAAGGAAGCCCAATAAGTTGCTAGGGATTAGAGAACAGACAAAGAAATCAGAAAAGAGGCAACAATCCACAGCCTCTGGACATGGCTCCTGTTGAGTGTGAAGGCGAGGTATGTCCTCAGGGATTATCTTGTAAATTAATGAGGAAAGTAGTCCACCGCCAAGACAGGTGTTGTTTTAATTTGTGTCTTTGTTTCTCACTATCCAAATCTATTTTAATTGCCAATAAATTGAATTAATTTGGCCCAAATTGAGTCTCTTTTGCCTGTGAGGGTAGCTATTAAACAAGCTCCCTGTTTTTATTTTGATCCATGAGATTTTTCATCCTATTTTCTACCCCTGTCCTGTTGGGTGGGGAGAGTTGGCAAGCGGCTGGGTAGGCA